GTTCGTATGGGTTTTTAATTGTTTTGCCCTTGATGCTTTGTCTCCAATAAGGTGTCTTGCTAATGAATATTGACATGTTCATGTGCTTTTTATGACATTTTATGCAGTGCAAGTAAGGAATTGAAGACTGAAAATTGAGAAAGAAGATAGGCCTACCAAAAAAGTTTACAAGTAAGATTACTCAAATTAAAATATATATATATTGTGTTGTCTAAAATTATCAAATTGGTAACTATGTTAATTTTGCTGCATTGCAGGGGTAAATGCAAGAATTAGCAAGTGTTTTGAACAAAGCACTAATCTATAACTACCTTATAGAAGATCACAATAAAAACCACTTTTTTGGGGTTTCAAGTAATGGGATTTGGGATGAAGGATGTCTTTTTTGAAGTGGCTTTGGTTCTGATCTTCAATATTTTAGGACTCATTTACTGACTCATTATCCTTTTGCTGCAACAAACTGATTTGGGATGAACAATGTCTTTTTTCACTACTTTAGGACTAATTCACTGTTTTATCATCTCTTTGGTGTGACAAGTTGTTGAACTTTCTATAGTTTTTTATGATGTATTTATGTTGCAATGTGAATTTGCATGGCAAATCAATGAAACTACTAGGTTGTTTAATTTGAAATTTGAAATATGCTTCTCTGTTGCAGCTGGGCAATATCTCCCTTTCTTTCTTTTTGGTTTTTGGTTTTTGCTTTCTTAATCTTAAGGTTCCTTTGTATAGCTGTATTGATAGTTTGTTATAATTGTCTCTTTTTTTTCATTTGACAATTTTCGATGTTTAGGACAAGTAGAATGATTTACCCACCCCTTAGGGCAACTTTTGAACTTGGAAGTAGGAAGAAAATCTCATACATTGATGGCCCAAGGCGTTAAAATGGTGTGCCTTATGTGCTTACTTGTTTCCATAACCTTTCTTTTTGTTCCACTTCTGAATATTGTATTGATCTTCAAGAGCTTCTTTGTGAATGCAAATATCTTCCTAATAATCAATTTAATCAGGGATGGCCAAAAAAAAAAAAAATTTAATTAGGGCCTTCCTTATTCCATCCACTGTATGACTTTCCTTATATATCTATGAGTAACGTTCTTCACATTCATTCATTTCTTAACTTCTTTGGATAGTAAAACTAGAAGCATCTTTTTTGCATAATTTTTTCTTGATGTTGGCATACCTTTTTTTTTGGTAATCATCTGATCTTTGAGATGGGTTGTCAAAGATTCACCATTTCTTTGAACAACAATTTTTTTTTTTTTTTTGGTAAATTTTGAACAACAATTTTTAAACTCTCTTAAAAGTGTTCTTTGGACTTTCAACTTAACTTGCTTTGCATGTATTAAAAATTAAAACATAGTAATACAATACAATTTTATGTTGCTCATGACTTGAATGTTTAACTACAGGTACAGCTGCGTAAGTTAGGTTATATTTTGCTTTTAATGAGATCCAAGTGACCTTGAAAATAACCACCTCCGCGCAGAGCGGGGTGTTCCTACTAGTATCATAGATGGACAAATAATACAGTTTCCAATAACGCTGACTACTTTATGACACGGTTTTGATTTCAATCACTTAATTTGAATAATTTTTACTGCAATCCACGGAGGGAGGAGGGCTGCTTAGGGGATCGAGTGTCAGATTTATGACATTTGGTGCAAAGAAGTCAATGAACCTACAGCTTCCTCACTTGTGTAGTTCAATGATTATGTACTCTTTGTTTTCCCTATTTATCCATTTGAGTTTCTTTCTCTAATTTGTTCGACTTAACTTGTTCACTTTTCATGGACCTCATAGTTTCTTCAATTTTAAAGTCCTAATTGCCAATTGCAGCTTTTGCATTCTTGTTTTATATTTAAACTAATATTTTGCATTTGAACCTGTCCTCTAGCATGATCTGCCTGGTAGACTTTTTTCTGTGTGCTTAGTACAATATTCACATCATCACTCTTTTTCAAGTTGGTTTTGATTTGTGTATTCTATGACTTCCTTTCTTGTTTGGTTATTTAACTGGACCGGTGGATGAGTCCTAAGACACTTTTCTAAGAGAATGGTAAGCTTACTCCATTAATAAAAAATTCCCCATATGGGGCTATACACGAGGCTTTCACCCGTGCATTTTCAGGTTTACAGAAAATTAATGACAATGCATTAATGTAACTCAACTAAGTAGCTAAGAGACTAACTGAAACTAGGTGCTAAATTGTAACTTTACCCTCATTTTTTAAAACTCTTCCATTTTTTTCCTGCCATATGAAATAAACCGCAAGGATTGTGGGGGGAGGGAATTTCCCAAGTCAATAGGAGCTAACGTTCTTTAGTTTTCTTTAGCTACAACTTTAAATGTTCCATTCCAGTTTCAATAGGGAAGTTGTCTAAGCTTACTCTTGTAAACTTCCGACATAACAATTTTTGGAGTGAAATCCCATCATTACTTACAAATGTCATGCAACTTAACCTTTTTGATCTTTCAAATAATCAGCTTTTTGGTCCCATTCCTTTTCAAGGCAGTTTGTTTTCAATACTATCCCACCTAGACCTATCTCATAACTCACTGAACGGATCAATGCCACCTTGAGTTTTCAGTCTACCTTCATTATAGGTCTTGGTTCTCAATTGCAACTTTCTTCAAGATCAAATAAATCAATTCCATCAGAAATCATTGACAATTGTGGATTTGGCACACAATAATTTGATCTTTTAAACAACAATCTGTCTTTGAGAATCAATTTTGATGCTGACTTCACATTCCCCAAACTAAAACATTTGATTTTGTCTTCTTGTAACTTGAGTGAATTCCCCAATTTCCTAAGACATTCAAATGATCTTCAAGTTCTTGACCTTTCTGTTAACAATTTAAGTGGGAAGATTACAAACTATCTCCAAATGTTGATGAGCAAAAGTCTTTCCGTTGTGAGTTTGCATGCCAATAACTTTGATGGAGATATACCATTTAGCTTTCCAGAGGGTTATGGATTGCAAAGTCTCAACTTCTATGGAAATAAAATGGAAGGCTTGTTGCCAAGATCTTTGATGAATTGTAGCTTGCTAGAGGTTATAAACTTTGGAGACAACAAGATAGCAAATCTAAGATTGCTGGTTTTAAGGTAAATAAATTCCATGGTTTTGTAGTTAGCACCAAAGAACGTCCATCTTTTCCCAAATTACGAATCCTGGATCTCTTCGATAATGACTTTTTCGGTCCTTTGCCTGTTCCATACATGGAAAATTTCAAAGCAATAGTGGATCCTCATAGAGATGACAATTTTTCTCAATACATGATGACCCACGGCACTCATATAGGGCTATGGCTTCTACCACTAAAGAGGTCATTTGGCTTCGCAACTTATTACACAGTTTTGGTATTCGCCAATCTCGCTCCACACCTCTTTACTACGATAATCAGGTAGCTGGCCACATTGTTGCCAATCCTGTCTTTCCTGAAATGACAGAACATTTGGAAATTGATTGTCATTTGGTGTGTGAGAAATTTCAAGCTGGTATTGTCTCTGCACATTACCAATCTCTTCCTCTCATCAACCAGCTGATATTTTCACAAAGGCATTGGGCAAGGACAGTTTTTATTTGATGCGGGACAAGCTGGGCATTCATGACCCTCATGCAACAGCTTGAGGGGGAGAGTAAACAGTATCTGGTATAAATAGTTTCTGGTAGAAATCTCTCCGAATCAGGAGCATATTTGTGTACAGTTATAACTGTCCTAGACTTTAGGCACAAGGTTAGTTAAGTTATGATTCTGATATAGTTCTTTTGTGTATATATATATGTATAGTGACATACATTATGAATGGAGAATATACATTAATTCAGCAATTTACACCATAAACACTGGTTGTCACAATGAAAGGATTGACGGTGAGATGCAGAGAATTTTAAGCAAATTCACTACCATTGATCTCTCAAATAATCAAACAAATGAAATTGAGAACTAAAATAAAATAAAATAAAATAAAAATAAAAAGACAAAAACCTGCAAGTGCCCTCGACATCTTTCATGAGCTTGGAAACAAGGTTCTCACGGTGGTTGCGGCCGATGTGGCGAGGATGCAGCTGCATGTTGCGCTCCAATACTATGTGGAAGAACATGTTTGAGAGTGAAGAATGAGAGTTCCTCTGTCTATGGATTCTGGGTTCAGGAAGGAGGAAGAGAAAAAGTTAGGGCTTTTAGAAGGTAACTCTCAATTGATGAGAAATCTATGTAATTTAATTCCAATATGAAATGTTAACTGTATTGTTCTTGATTGATTTACGCTGGTTAAGAGAAAAAACTGCTTACAAATTTGTAAGGACAGGTCTGAGGTGTCAAGCCTCGGACTGCTACAGTAATTCCTTTATGACCGAAGTGAGGAATAAATCCAAAGCTTCCCGCTCAAATGGCTGCATGATAAGGACAATAAGCATGCCCACATCTAATCCTTTACGATGAGTGGCACAGCAAGTATGGTGGACGCTCATGCATCTGGATACCTCTCAAATTCCCGGTCTCGGAATAATCGTCTGGATGAACACGTCAGGCTCCGATTATCTTGCTTGGCATGACACGTGGGTTCCTCATTGAATCCTATAAATACCCCCCGGGTCACGTCAAAAAGGTAATTAAAACCAACCTTAAGCTTTTCTTATCTCCGCCCTAAAGGTAGCCCCGATTATTGCTGACTTAAGTATCGGAGTGTCTACCCCGAGTTCCACCTTGGGGCTTTGCAGGTCATTCCGAAGTGCAGTTGCGGACTGAGAAGGACTTCTGATTTGGTGCAATTACAAAATTGAAGATATATGGAGAAGAAAGAGTAAGACCCGTTGACAGCTAAGTTGCAGGGGAAGAGAGACTATAGACGCCGATCAGCTCAAACGACGGCGGAGCCAAGCTCAGCTCACTTTGTGGAGAAAAGAGACGAGAAAGATAGTTGATCTGGGTTTTATATACCTACCTTACCCTTTATTTGGATCGAGGAAGTTGAATGGGAAGGGGAGGAGAATGAAAGGGTGAAAGCCCCTCTTCTTGTTTGAAAAAAAAAATTTAATGGAGGAGAGGGTGATGAAAGGAGAAAGAGCCCCTCCCCTCCTTTATTTTCAATCTTTTTAATTTAGAAGGATGGGAGGGATT